TTCCCTAATGGTCTGTGCAGCAACACCTTTCCTTCTGGGAAGCACCTGGGGCTTCTCTGTGCCTGCACGCAACCCCTGCTGCCTCGGAAAGAGGAGGTCTGCTCTTCCTCCCCCGCTGCCTCTCCCCACAGGGGCTTCCCCACCATGATCTCATGGAGCTCTAATGGTAATTATCGTTGTCTCATGGCTCAGTGGTGTCTGCCTTGAGACGAACCAACCGTATGGCTTTTGATACCTATCTCAGCGCCAGGCACGTGTTTGCACGCACGCACTTCTGTGCTACCTGCAGTTTGGGCTCTGCAGATGAGCACAGGCCAGATTCTGCTCCTGTTTCTCGGAGATGAATACGTGCAAAACTAGGTAAGAGGACTGGAACACAATTAAATTTGTTATCACCACATGCACCAGCTTTTGCACGTGTATGCAATGTCTCATTGCAAATTAAAAAAAGATTCTGCTGTGTAAATGGCTTAGTAGCTTTTCTTTATAGAAAACTATTTTTCAAGTTAATCTTTTTTTTTTTTCTGGCACAAATGTTTAGTGATGATGAGCCATGCAGTTTCTTGAGCTACCCTCTTTTCTTTTTCCTTTTTTAAAAAAAAAACAACAAGCAATCTCTGTGCTCAGCACCTTGAGAGGGTGAAAACTTTTCTGTGTTTAGAGAAGCAGAGTGGAATAATGGGGTGTTTCGGAATCATTTTGCTTTTTCTCTTTTTTTTTCTTCTTTTTTGTTTTTTTTTTTTTTTTTTTAATTTCCTTTCTTCTGGTTTTGCAGGGCCAGGAACTTTAGAAATTAGTATGCATCAAAACCACGGCAGACCTGCAACTCCCCCTGAACCCTGTCACATCTCTCCTTGCTCTTCTGCATGTGCTGCTGCATAAAAAAAAATAGGGTGATTTGGAAAGTAAGGAAAACCTCAGCCCAGTAGCACAGCTATCGTGCTCTGAAGAATCTGTGTTTTCTTCTCCAGCCTGTTTCAGGAGATGAGGATCTCCCTTTGCCTCCTCTGGCTGGAGGTTTCTCAGTGGGAAGCTCCTTGCTGGAGTGCGGTGCCTCCTTGCCAGGGGTGCAGCACATGAGCTGATCTTTCTGAACAGGTTAAATAAACAGGACTGTGTTTGGGTTAATTGTCACTGGTTCTGCTGCTCTCCATTAGTGATCTATCTGGGAGCCTGGCCAAGGAGCAGATGCGAGAGACAGCATCATCACCTCCCTCCTTGTCCTCATTGTGTCTGGCTTTACCCTTCTTCTTCTTCTTCTTCTTCTCCCCCCGCCCCATTTCCTTTTTTTTTTTTTTTTTACCCCCCCCCCTCTTGCAGGGAGATAAGTTACAAAAGCAGAGGAGGAGGAGGAGTGTGTGTTGGAGGGGAGGGGCAGGAGGACAGGGAGACCCTTTCTGGGATGAAGCAACCCAGCCAAGAGAGTCCGAGGCACAGGGGACAGTAGCCCTGGCTGCATTCCTGACACAAAGCAGTAAATTAGCTGCTTCTGTGTCAGTTTGTGCAGGAAGTCTTGTCGGCTGCACACGGGGAGGAAAGATGGAGATGTCTGTCCTCAAATGAGGAGGAGGAGGAGGACATGTCTCCGATTTCCACCTTGCCCACCCTCCCCCAGGCAAGCTCCAGGCAGTTTTAGGAGCTGAGATGCAGAGACATTTGCCCAGCTGCAGAAGAGGAATCATGTTGCCCAGGATGACTTTTATCTGTGCTTATGATTGTGTATGTTTTCCTCATACTTACTATGGGTATCAACATGAGACGATCCACTGTAGACTTCTTTGAAGCAAAGGGCATGGCTTTTTAAGTTTTGTTACAAAACTAAGTAAAAAGTTGACACAAAACAAAACAAAAGGCAGCTTAATAATAATGTAATTTACAGCTATTCCCTTTTCCCCTTCCCTTCCCTTTTGGCATTCATTTGTCTCTCTTCTGTTTTGTTTTTTGGATTCAATATGTTAGCTATCAACTTCTTGCTATCTATTCACGTTGTTTATGCATTTGGGATTTTTCTAAGACCAAAGTGGGTCTTGTCTTGAATATGTATCAATGTTTTACGATCAGAATTAGAGTTAATTGCATTAAATGATATATATGTGAGGCTTTCTGGCTTCATTTTGATAACTGGTACTTAGGGAGACAATGAGGAGAGGTAGGTGTACTTTTCTTTGTTTTTATAAATGCGTTGATTTTGCATCAGAACTTCCTTGAAATGTAGTGAAAAATGCCTACACCATCTAGGAACTTAATAAGTTTCATTCCCGTTGATGTTTTATGAGATTTGGACTTCCTTGTTATAGGGTTTCATCTCCGTCAACCCAGAGGCATTTTAAAAAATCTTGTATTTTGGTCAACAGCATCTGATTATTTTTTTTTCTATTTGCTCCTCTTTGATGGGAACAAACATGAAATCCTAATACAATCATCACCCGTGTGGACAATTCAAGCTCTATGAATATTATCGGCATCCTGACCGGTGGAGTGGGACTCCGTCTTGATGTGCCCATGGGTAGGATTCAGCTGTGAGCCCCATGCTTGTGCTTGGCAGGGTGGGAAAACTCTACAAACCAATTAGCTCTTGAAATCTCAAGCCCTGTTGGCAGGATGCAGATGATCCTGCACTGCACTTGCACTCTACGCCTGCACAAAGAACTTTTTATATGACATTAATTCTGCAGAGAAGTTTTTATTCACCAGAGAATCTGCAGAGAAATGATTATGCATCGCTGGCTTGGTGGAGCAGAATTTTAACTTCCAGCTCAGGCATTCCTCCACTGATTAGTTTTAAACATGAAACAGAAACACAAGCCTGTGATTTATTGGTGAAATATTTAAGATATATTGTTAAATTATTTAAATAGCGGAGTTTAAAGCAGGAAAGCAAGCAAGGAAAAAAAAAAAAAAAAAAAAAGAAAAAAGAGGTAGCTCATCCAAATAAGAGCTCAATTTTCCTGAATTTGAAAAACATACATTTGGACTTGCTGGATATCTGAAACAAAAAGTGTTATTTCAGTGCAAAGAAAAGCATATTTTAAAATGAAAGATTTCAACCTTATGATCCTCACAACAAACTTAACCTTGAATCTTTTCTCCATCTGATCCCTGTGGACTCTGTTTCATCTGCAGTGCTAGGAATCGTTACAGCCCTCCATCCTTTCCTACCACTCTGCTACCACATCTTTGGGCACTCGCCCAGCCTGGATGCAGTTTTCCTCTTTCTATAAGGGCTAATTGAGAGGCTTTTTGTCTTACTGTTGGTAAACCAGGAGGGAACTTCTCAGGTCGTCTTGCCTGGGGTTCGAATATCACCTTATCTTGTCTCACATGATCTTTCATCCTACCTTGTGCTGGAGAAAAACCTTGTTGAATCTGCTATGCTTGTCTTCGCCCAGTTGCCCTCTGGCATCTGTATAACATTATCACAAGGTAAAAATGGAGCTGTCTTGTCAGAGGAGGAGATAACGATCATGCTCATGGTGTCTAAGGACTGCAGGGTTGTGGCAATAATAGTGTAGACTAGTGAAGGAAAGTTAAGTAAAGCATAAAGTTTTTTTTGTGGAGCCTTAATGCTAATTTCCCCAAATTTTGAGAATAAAATGTGTTGGAATTGATGCATCCTCAGGAACATTTATTGTTTTTATTTTCTGTGCACCTAAATTTCTCCAATTTTGAGAGAGATTACTAGCTCCCACAGATATATCTGTTCTCAACATAAGATCACTGTGACACTTTAAAAACAAAGGTGGTTGGACTTTGACACGTCTTCAGTGAAAATACATGGGAAACATGCATCAAAATCCAGCTTTGAAAAATTCAGATCTTTCTCTTCATCTACTCCCATTTCAGTACAAAAAAAAAGAAGTGTTTTTTGAGTCTGACCTCCTGTAGTGAGTGCTCTGTCTTGGGTTGTGCAGCTAAGAAGAGGAAAACTTTCAAGGTCTGACTCTTTCAAACATGTGGCAGCTGAAAAGAAGATAATTAGGACACGCAAATTCAAACAGTACTTTTGCAAATGGTATTTATCTTTTTTCATGTGTGTGTGTGTGTGTGTGTCTATATTCTACTTCTCCACCTGCCTTCAAAGGGGAGCTGGTAAAAAGGATTTGCTTGGCCTTTTTGTTGCTGTAGGGGGAAGGGTGTCATTTGTGTGTGGTGCTACAAGACAGATGCTGCAGGTGAAACTACCTCAGAGGGGGCAATCCTACCCGGAGGGGGCAACTCCTGAGACCCGAGCACTTCTTTTTCTGTTTCTCCTCTTTGTTGTGCTGTGGGACCAGGTCCTTTATAATATGTAGGAGCGGGCAAGGGTTTATGGAGCAATCAACTCCATCAGAGGCAATTGCATAATGCTTCAGCCTTTTGTCATAGATTTTGTATGTGTGTGAGCTGAAAGTATGGCCAGGAGCGAAGGGGATGTGAAATGCTGGGCTTCATTTTTTTTTTTTTTTTCCCTTGGAAAGAGCCTGTCTAAGTTCTTTTATGCTTTTCAGGCTCAGGGATGAGAGACAGTGTGCATGTGTGTGAGGGCGTGCGCGCGTCTGTGCCCATACAGTCGCTCAAGTGGGAAAAAACCCCGTTTGCGGTTCACACAGGAGGAATTTCTGACGGGGACAACAGTGCTAAGCAGAAAGGCACATCCTGATCTCTAGCAAGTGAGGGGCACGCTCGCGCACACACGCACGCACACATACTCTCCGGGCGCTCTGCATAATACGTGCAAAGCGCTGCTCTTTAATGAACGTAACCTATGGCGGCTGGGATGCAGCCGGCCAGACCTCGCCATTAATAAACTGGGAACATTCTTCTCCTTTTTAGTCCCTTTCAATGCCAGCCCTGCGGTTTGATCTCCCTTGAATGCTGCTCCCCCTCATTTGGGGCTCCAATTCTGAGAAGATTTGGCGCATTGTTTGAGGTCGCAGGATGTCGGATTGATTTCGAAGCTTTTGTATTGACTCCGGGCTCCTGAATGAAGCTGTCATGTGTGTCTGTGGTTGGCTAGCAGGCTGTCCGGCTGCAAGCTGTGCCTTCCTTTGTTGTTTAGGCCTCATTGAGCTGAGGGAAGAGGCTCATTTCAGGGTGATTTACCACCACCCAAACACCAGCTGTCTGTTGTACTGCCGCTTGCCTCCACCTTGGATTCAGTTCTCATTTTCCTTCATTTCCCCCTTCTCCTCTCTCACTCTACCACTGTAGGCACTTGGGCACCAGTTCTTTAAGAAGCAGGGATCACCCTGACAGAACAGCCTAAAAAACATAAACACTGAATATGTGCTACTCAATGTCATTTATGCACCCGTGGGGATATTTTTTTTTTTAGGGTTCACTGTTGCAGTGCTATACACATTTTCTTCTTAGTTAAAGAATGAACTATGGCCATAGGGGAATAAAGTAAATAATGAAAACGCCATGTTCTTATTGGCTTGTTACTAAGTGTCCAACATAGTGGAAAACAGTAATGATGTTAATTTAAAAATAGGTATTAAGGTCCGTGGCAGGACAGCAGACTGAGTTGCACAGCCTGCCTGGTGCAGGATGTCGGGGGAGATAGCTGCAAATGTGGTCCCTGGTCCTGGCAATGTTGGGATACTTGCGTGGATGGAGAAGGAGTCAGAGAAGGATGGCATCACCTTCCTACACGCTTGTCATTCCTGAGCAGGCACAATGGCTGTGTTTATGTGGGTATCACGCTGGAGGGCTATTTTTGTGGCGTAAGACATGAGAGGAAGAAAAGGGAAGAGGCTGTGAAGCGCCACTCATCTCATCTTCACAAAGCTCTTTCAGAAAGGTACTTCTCTGTGAGGAGCCGGACTGCTCCAGCAGCTGAAATGCCAATAAAAGCCTTGGAAATACCATGCTGGAAGCTGTGCTCTTCCCTAGGTTGCCATGGGCCAAGGCTCAGTTATCCTTTCTGCACCTCACATTTTTATCTGTTGGTGGGGGATATTTTTAGGGTATTGTAAGGCAGGAGAGATGGAGAGAGTGTGGACAGCTGAAAGCCAGGGCCAGGTTGGGCCAGTGAGACTTTCCAGGGGCCACGTGGAGACAGGTTGTGCCAGCTCCTTGGGGGTGAGGCTACTGCCAGGATTTTCAATGGCTGTTGCTCAAAACCGAGGAAGGCTGATGGGAACTGAGCAAGTCAGAGCCTGGCAGGACCTGCCAGTGACTACACAGTGTATGGCATGGTGCTGCTAAGCCAAGCCCATCCCTCAAACTCATCTTTCCAGCCACAGACTTGGGAGAGGGGAAAGAAGATGGGATCCTCCGGTTAATCCCAGCCAGCTCCTCTGGAGCACAGACCCTGGCAGCTCCATGGAGGCCCACTGGTGCCATGTGCATCCTGTCTGACTCCTTTAAACGGGGCTGGCAGCTCCACGCGGGACCTCTCTGAGCAATGTGGCAGCATCAGAGCTTGCTGTAGTCTCCAGGGCTGCCCTGGCGGCAGTGACTTGTGTGTGCCCCTGCCCCTCCCCGCAGAGCCACTGGCGTGAAGTGAGTTGTGACCAGCCCTCATTTGACTTCTGGGTGATGCAGTTTGGTGTTTCTTGACCGCAGGCTGCTAAAACTGGTGACTGATCAGCTCCTGTCACCCGTGCAGCTGAGATAATTAAGCCTGTTGCTAATAATTTTTCTTTTTTTTCTGCAAACTTTGGCCAACTGCTGGAGGCCATGGTGCACGGAGGAGGGTGAGGCCAGTGGGACTCCCTGTAAGAGGTGGGATAATAGGACCTACATCCCTTCAGTGCTCACTAAGGAGCCTTCTAGCTCTTTGCCTTGAGAAGGGGGATGTCTGACAGTGGGTGGGAGGCAGCAGAAGGCAAAGCAAGGTCCTCCGTTGGAAATCCTTGTGCCTACCTGCTTCTAAACCAGGGCATCCCCTCAAGAGCAGGCAGCATGAGATCGTTAAGTAGCAATACACCTGTGAGCTTTCAAGATCACTGTGCTCCTCCACAATCCTGTTATTAAAAGGCCACAAAACATGGAAGTGATGCTCCATAAATTAAAACTGAATGCCTATAGTACCTTGTGAGATCGGGCTCTTCTCTTTGCTGTGTTCTCCTCTCCCTCCCCTGAAAGCGTCAGGCACTGCTGGATGAAGGAGGGAGGGATATATTAGGAGGCAACCACCACAGCAGGATAGCCCCAGCGAGGTGTTTTAGTTTCTTAACAAACTCCTTGGGCACTAGAAACTGTAAAATAACGTACAGATAAACAAACAAAAACTCACTGACCCTTAGCACCCTGGAGGGGTCTGTTTCAGATCGCTGAATAAAAGCTGAAGTTGCATATGCATGTTTAATGTAACACAAGGCGTGTGCTGCGGAAAAGCATGCTTTCTTCTAATCTGGTTCCAGACAGAAGCATCGAAACAGAAGCCCCTTTCCCTATCCCCAGTGAACTGCCTGGTGTACACGAGGAAACCCCTGAATGACAAGGCCTCCATCTGCTCTTGAACGGAGTTGCGACTGGCTGCAAATGTTGTCCATATGTTTTTTTTTTTTTTTTTTCCCTTTCAACTGAGCTGCCTAATGTTAGACACCTATCCCTAAATTAAGCATCTGTTCGTAATAGGCTTTCCTAAAATTAGGTGGAGGTAGCAGCTAATTCAGGTGATGCCCATTAGGAGAGATGCCTCTGCAGTTGGAAAAGGAGATGCGATTATTCATCCAGTGCATTGCTCTCATTTGCTTTTTTAGAGAACGGAAGACCCTCCACATTCTTGTACTGTCACGGAAAAAATAAAAACTATTATCTTTTGGGTTCATATTCCCCCCCTTCATTCTTGGTTTTCCAAGCGATTATGGGCAATGTCTTGCAGTTTCTTTCTGTTAAATAAAACCGGTGATATTTCCAGCCAGCCAGGAGAACGAGGCCATGGTTTGCAATGAGCTCAGGTTGCATGACAGTATATCCTAGAAGACAGAGAAGGGTCTAAAAATGGGAGTTTTTCCTTGGTTTGTGGTATAAAAAGGGCTGGAGTATCTTTTTTCAGCATAATTACTTTGCAGTCATTACTGGGACAAGTTGACCATCAGCAAGTCACGTATGAATCCCATTTCCTAAACACAAGTGTATGATGCTGCTATAGGCACCCTAAGGTGTCCTGGCTGTCCATCAGCTGCTTGTTGCTTGTTAGGAAATGTGTGGGTTTTCTTTAGGTCTTTTTGTATCTGTATCTTGTCTCATAGTGTGGAGTGTGTAGAAAGTCCCCCTTTGGTTAGAAAGATAAATCTCTCCCTGTGCCTCGGTTTCCTATCTCTAACATAATAATTTAATACAATTGCTTGAATTTTTAGTTAAATCACTTCTTTCTGGGGAATATTTTTCAAATTTAAGTGATTACAGACTAACTGCTGAAGGACTGTAGCAGTGGGGCAAGAGCAACATACCTTTGATAGATGAGAGTCACAGAGGATGCCAGTTGGCAGTAGTCCCTTGAAAACCTCGAATTTTGACAGGTTGCAATCAGCAGCCCAAACATTGGGTGTTTTCGTTACATATCAGGTGTAGGTATAGCCTTTTCGGTGTCTTTTTTTTTCCCCCAGCATCTCTTTTTGAAAGAGGAGAAAAGATAATTTTTGCATGTTATCTGACCTTGCTGGGACTTGTAAGATGCTGGGGTCACCAAGTAAGAGACCTCACCACACCTGGCAGGTTGCAGGCTCAACTGAGGTGATCAGAAGTTTATCTGCCTGTTTGTAATTCCTGCCACCAAGGGTCATCTCTCTGCTGTGCCCTGACATTGAGCAATGGCTGCAATTCCTTTTAATCGTGCCCTTTCCCTTCCTCATCATTTAGGGCAGAGCGCTTCCACTTGGCTAAACTCATTAAGTGCTTTAATGTTGAGGTCTCCTTTTCCATATAAATTCATCCAGCTGAAATCTCGTGACTTTCCGTGGCTGTACATGGGGAGATTCTCCCTCTGTTGCCCAGCAGATGCTGACTGTGTTTATTTTTCAGCTATAGACAGCAAAAGTCTGAAAAAAAGGCAGTATCTTTGTGTGTGTGTGTGTCTACAGTAATTGCAATGGGTTTGTGAAGACTCAATTGGCTGTGTTACTGTTTGAGCATTTTGACCAAACCTGGAATCCCATCCCCTTTCTGCCATAGTGATTTATCAAGACGTCCAGGTCTGATAAGCTCCAAAAATGCTTTGGTGAAGAAACAAAGCGACTCAAATAATCCCCAGAAAAGAACCACGTTAACGCGAGGGACCTTACTGCTGGGATCACGCTCTGTCAGTCTGACGAGTTGTCAAAGAAAACAAGGTGTTCAGCTTGTTTCACAAACTGTTGGTTGTAGGCAAAAGGAGGGTGAGGGTACCCTGTTTCTTTGTCAATCTCCATTGGCCCCAGCATGTTATTGTCATTGCAGGGTCTGCACCACCAGTGTTGGGCCAGGGTGGGCTGCTGAATTCCTGGCAAGGACTTGACAGTGGTTATATGGACCCATTATGCTAATGAGGGCAAGTCACACCAGTAGACTTTATTTCACTAGATCTAGCTACCCTAGAAGCAAGTAAGCACTAACCTGGTAAGGGTGAACAGAAATGTTGGTGTATAAGCTTTATCTCAAGTCACTCCAGTTTGGCAATTGGACAGTCTGAGCATGATAGACTTGTTCTTGTTCATGTATGTGTGTGACAACATTGGGTTAAAATAACCTGTTCTTTTGCAGCTTGGCTTGCCCATATTCCCACTGCGTTTTTCTACACACCTTGCTTTCCTTCTGCCTCTATCTGTGTGACATCCCTGATGCTGTGATATTGGCCTTTGGGGAATTCTCCTTGGCGGCTTGGGAGCTATCCCTCTGTACAAGGATATCTCCCAGCAGCGCAGGATGAGTCCACAGGCTTCCCTAATGCCCTTTCTTCTCCTACTTCTGGCTGTAAATACAAGCTTCTTGATCTTCAGTGGTTCAGATTGTGCTGATGTTTTTTCTGTGCAGCTCCATAGGGCTGGGAAATGCTCAAGTGAAAGACTCAGATCAGGTCAGTCAAATATGTACCTTAACTGGTGGAAATAAAAGAATGTGTTAAGGTCTGGTTGATTTGAATTGTGCTGTTGCCTATCAGGGTTTCTGAACACAAACAGAGTCCTTGGCATGGCTGACAATGATACAACATTAATGTTCTTGTATTTGTTATTTGTAGAAAAACCCTCAAACAAGATCAGGGATTCATTGCACTAGGAGCTGTTAATGCCCTAGACTGACTTATTCCCATCTGGTTTATTTATTCATGAATTCTGTTTCTTTACAAAAATCCACTCCAGGCAATGCCTTTCTTAAAGAACATTGTACTTCCTTGCTGGCTAAATGTGTGCAACCTTCGGTCTCATACTGTAGCCGCCTGGATGAGTGATAGTTGCAGAGAAACATGCCATTTGCTGCATGCTTTTGTTGTGAAGTGACACCATCACAAGAACATTCTTTATGGAGGTTCCTCATGACAGACATGTAAAAATGTGTTCACAGACTGATGGCCAGGTTTCAATATTCATTACTTGGAATGAATAGCACCTTATTCTAAAATTGGTCAAATTGACGTCAGTGGGACCACTTGTAGGGTTCAGTAATTGCAAGCGAGGCACACTGTGCTCTGAGCGACAGCCAGCTGGTGGTCTCTTCCTACCTCCCACTATTTTGCACTTATTCAAAGCAGCCAAGTTTGCCCCTGTCAAAATTGTCATCTATTATTACCTTCCAGCTTTGTAGCTAACGAGAAGTTTGAATCCAGAGATCATTCGTTCCAAAGATGAAATAAAATTTGATTTGAGCAGAAACATCTAATAAATATGGGGTCATCCAATGTTACATGTGGTAGAGTGAAGCAGTTGATCTGAAATATCAAATAACTTTGCTCTCTAGGATACCTTGTGAACAACCTGTTACCAGGTACAGACCTGAAGCAGGTTCACACAGTGTCCACAAAGCTTCAGGAACTCTCGATAAGTTACTTATGGGAAGAGAGATGAATTCTCTGGAGGAAAAACGTTTTTCATTTTCAACATGCATGTTCATCAAGCCTGATTAATAACAATGTCTCTGAGCCTTGTTTTGTTAATGTCTGAGAAGATCTGAGAACGGATCCACCTATTCTGTGGTGGGCTCTGTTGTGAGGACCATTGGTCACACTTATAAATGCTTTGTAGGATTGAGTCTTTTGTTGATGTTGTGTTGGTTTTTTTTTTTTCTTTAATTAGTATCTTCAAAATAAAAAAAACGTTGTCATGAGCTATACTAGCAGTTCAGCATCAAAACAAGGAGTCATATTATGTTTCTTCAAAGGATAGCTTCCCTTTCTCTCAAATATAAGCTTAATTTTCTGATGTTGAGGTTCTAACACATCAGGAGAAAATTAATTCAGAAATTAAACACTTTTACCAATTTTAGTCTTTTGTATTTTGATGTATTCTCTTTGAATCACTCTTGATTTACAACAAGAGAAGAGCCAGGTCAGACTGCTTGTAGTAGAGATTAAAAATGAAATGGGAATATCTTGATTGCAGAGAGATTTTACAGAACACCATCTCTAACAAACCCTGAGTGTTGGACCTAAAACCCATCGATGGCAGTATTTTAATTATAGATATTGGCAATAGGTTTTTGGGGGGAGAAAAACCCTTCAGTTCTCTTTAATGTTTTCTAGAACAGTGATACATTATGCTTTGCATTTGGTTATCTTCTGAACTCTAATTTTCAATGTCTAGTGGTGTGTTGACCATTTCGGTTATGGATCAGCATAAACTATTGGGGAAGTGCTTGCTCCGGAGGCTGTAAAGCTCATTCCTTGTGCCCTGGCAGTGTCCTGTCAGTATTTCAGGGGACAGGAGGTGGATGGGGAGGAAACTAGTACAGGAGGGTGGGTGGCAGTGTGGAACATTTGTCTGTGAATGCAGGACCTCAGCTCAGCTTATAAATTATCCCCTGGGCCTTGTAGATAAACACAGACTTCTATGGTGACATCGGCTGGGAAAGGCAAACACTTGCCGACGATTGTAGGCTAATCCTTCAGGATACTAATTGCCAGAAAACCAAGGAAGCATTATTTTAGGAACAGCTTGTTTCACTTTGTGAAGGGGAAAAACACTGCACTGGATTTATTTTTGTTTGCAGAGCTTTACCCCCTCCTCCCGCGCCCTGTCTCAGATTTTAAAGATTTACCTCCATTAATGTTGTTGGGGACTTTTTCTGTCTTTTTTTTCGGTCTTGCTTTGTGTTTTCCTATGATGCCTCTGTGAAGTTGTGTGAAAATGCAACTTAGTTTTTACTTTCATGAATGTATGCATAAATAGGTATGTGGGTTTTATACCATTAGCTATTTAAAGGTTTGGGACTAACCAGCTACTTTTTGGCTGAATTTTTGTGAAATGTGATGCTTTGCAAAGCTTCTATTTTTTTTCATTCTTTCAAGTCAATTTGGAAACATGCAAAAAGTCCTAGATTCACTGACCCACCAGTGAAAATCCCCAGCTGAACCAAGTCATGACCCCATCACTGAGGATTTCATTTACTGGCATTTCTCCAGTATGCCTCTAGAAGAAAAAGTACCTTAACCTCATTGACCTGAGACTCTGCTTCCTTAAGTCTGGCATCCAAAAGCACCTATCTGCATGGTATTTTCCATGGTGCAAGTCATCAGTGTGTAAATCCTGGCCCCATCACTGTCGAGGGCAGAAGTCCAAGCAAGCTCACATGGGGCTGGGGTTTCACAACAGTCACAAGGAACTCATCATTCATGTTGGATTTGCACCAGAGCAGGAAAGGGACTGGTGGTCTATGTTGTGTGGCCTCCCAGTCCAAATGAAACCCTACGCCATGAGGCGGAAAGCTAAGCAGTGAAATATAAATCCCACAAAACTTTGAAAAATTCGAAACAAATACAGCTGAGTGCACTGGAGAAGTAAAGTCTCATCCTCCGTGGATGGTCTTGATGAAGCTTTGGGTTGGTGAAGCAGGATGACTGACAGGAGTCCCAAAATATGGCCACCTCTTGGCAGCAAAACCCCTGTGTCCTTGGCTGCCATCGGCACCCTTGCCAGTTGTTTGTGTGCTTTGTGGGAGTGAAATTCACCCATGCTCCAAGGCCCAGAACCAAGTCTCTGCACCACAAACATCCTACTGTAATTGTAAGGTTCATATATGCTCTTCGGAGTGGTTATTAGTTTCCCAGTAATTTATGCCTCCCTATAAATTATTATACTGTTGCTTATTATTTGAGGTGCGTTGTTGCATAAGAACTGGACTAGGATTTTCTTGTGCTCAGTAGTATATTAACATAAAACAGGAAAGATGGTTCCCAGGGAGTGATTTGATTTGTGTACGTTCTGAGGAAAGCAAAATGTCATTTAAAAACTGGGGAATAATGTGTGGGTGGACAAATAATGTGCATATTGGAGGTATGGATAAGGTTGAGAACCAGAAGTAGCAGACTGTTCCATATTCTCAGCACATGCAGCTCTGCCTTCTCAGGGTTTAGTTTTATTTGTTTTCCATTGCTTCTCCAAAAGGTAGGCAGCTCATCAATGTTTAACTGCTCTTTGATTTTTTTCTGTTTTCTCTTTGCTTAACTTTTCTGGTGGCTCGTGTAAACTCAAGTGTTACTGAGAAGTCAGATCCTCCTGTCCTTCCGTGTGTTTGTTTTTGGTTTTAATACAACAAATGTATGCCTTCTCTGGAAATGGTATCCACGCTGCAGAGTAATTATTTAGTGAATGGTGGATCCAGTTCATGTTGGCAAGGATCAGATTAATCATTATTAATCATGACCCCTCTGACAGTAACCTCATCCCTTGCCTAAGTGCTGGTCTTTATTAAGAAGTAATAGCTATTAGGGAATGGCTGCACCACCACTCTCGTTGCACCGGCACAGGGCTCAGGACTTCTGGCAGGAGGCGGAGGAACTTGGTTCAAAATTAAAAATAGACGCACATGGTCCACGTTCCAGAAATGAAATAGGCAGCTTCCCCTGTGGGCTTCTTCGGCCTCATCTGAGTGTCCTCCTTTCCCCTGAAGCCTCCCAAGAGTTTGCCTGTTTCCAAAGGTTGAATTCAGTGTTGGGGATGAAATAATCTCTTGGATACTTTTTTATTTGTTGGCTTGATTTTCTTTTTCAAACTTAGGTAGATCCTGGTATAACCTAATGCACATGCAGTCTTTGCATGGATAAGATTTTAAGGTCTAATGTAGTGGTTGTAGCAGGTTTCAACAGCTGATGAGACTGCAGATGGGCTTAGCTCTCTGGGACTCCTGTTGTCCTGAGTACACCCCAAAAATACTTGAGGATTTCTGGATTCCTTGAAGAAACACTGCACTGTTCAGGTGAGATGTGCAGCACTGTTCACCTCATGCGCAAAGTTGCAAGGTGTCCAGCTTCCCTCTCCAGGTCACTGGACTGGGGATTGCAGGCCTGTATCTATCTGTCTATCTCTATGTATCTCAAAATATATGTCTTCACCATTTGTGTCACTAGAGATCTGCTGACAGAAGAGACTAGTTTAATTCACAACTCTTCTGGTTTTCCTGGCAGTTCTGGTTCTTTTTAAGAAGGTGAGGCAGTGCTATCAATGGATGTCATCCTTATTTCAGCAAAAGCACAATGACTTAAGTACTGGATTGAAACCAATCTCCCCAATCCCTCCATCCCCCAAAGTCCACCTTAATAACCTTTTAAAATGTTTTTGCTGACTGTATGGAAATCCAGGACAGAACCATTTAGAAGAGAGCAAAGGAAAGACAAATGTCTTTTCTCTCCATCTATCTCTTCGATACCTGGAGGGCAGCAGAAGAAACTTGGAGCAAACCTGCCACACTCTTTTGATCTCTGCCAAAGTCGTTGTGGGAGTAACAGTGTTTAATGGCTGAAGGAATTTATTGAAGAATAAAAGTACTAGCAAAGACAAAGGGTCCAATACAAATTATCTGGTAAACCGCTGTCAGATTTTACGTGCTCAGGGCTACTGGTAATTTCCCGTCTTAAAAAGCAGAGGG